TTCACGTGACAAAAGATCTGCAATATAAGGGAAATTTTTCAAATTTTTATTTTGTTTCAATTCATCTATTTTTGATAAACTTTTTTGTAACACGTCATTTTAGGACTAAACATAGTAAATTCAGTAAACTTGTGCAACTTTGAAGCTCAAATTCTCCATAAAGTTCAAAGAACAGTTCCATAATAACCCTTAATAAAATTGATTTAACAGATTTTTGGAAAATTTTCCCTAATTATAATTGCCCAAACTATCTGTTAAATCAAGATTCACTGTGTATGATGCAAGTTACTTAGTCCCACGACTTTTTATTGGTTGTGTGGATTTTCAAATTTTCCAAAAATGGAAATGCAACACCCCAAAATAAATCGTGTATTTAAAGCCAAGACCTTCTACAAAATCACGATTTCATCTCATTGATATGTCATGTTGTTGATCTGTAAAACTGAGATTTTTAATTAGTATCTGCTAAATTGAGATTCACTGTGTATTTGCTTGCTAAGTAATAATTTAAATATTCAATCATTAATAATAATAATAATAATAATAATAATAATAATAATAATAATAATAATAATAATTTTGGACTGATGGATCCCTAAAAAATCCTAGCTCTCCTGATATTAAATTAGGTTATGGTTGGATCCAAGTTGATAAGAATAAAAAAATCACTAACTCTTTTTCAGGTGCGCTGTCACAATGGCCATCATCAACACGTGCAGAAATCTTTTCTCTACTTACAGCAATTCTAACATGTCCAGCAAATAGTATTATAAATATATACTTAGATTCACAAGCTACTATTGATGGTTTTAACAATTGGAAACAAAAATCAAAAACCATTAGATCCTACCTTAAAGTTAATAATTTTTCTTTATGGGAAAGCATTTATTCAACAATGGAAAAATATAATTTAATAGTAAATTTAACAAAAGTTAAAGCTCACTCCAATAAATATCCTCTCAATGATACAGCTGACTCACTAGCCAAATTGGGAAGTAGCAATAATCAAATCACAAAAATAAATATAAATAACATAACTAAAAAATATGTTACATTATATTGGAAGGAGTTTCTAATAGATTACCATTGTAGGAATTTCATCAAACAAATATGCAAAGCAAAGCGATTAAATTCTTGGACATCTCTAAATCGGTTTCAACCATTTTTCACTGAGGAAGAAATACAAAAAATAGAGTGGAGGTGCACATGGTTATCTTTAAGAACCAGTTTCCCTTCCTCTACATCTTTCAAAGACAGTAGATGGAAAGCCTTCAAAATCAAACTATTACATAATGAACTACCAGTATTAGAAATTTTAAAGAAACGTAGATCTGATTTATATGGGAATTTTACAAATTGTCCTAGGTG